CCCCCACCCACCCACACCCACACCCACACCCACACCCACACACCCACACCCGCACCCTCAAATATGTGTGAATGTTTTAATAAATGAAGAACGTCAAGCATTATCAAATGCATTAAATTCCTCTGTATCAACACCAACATCATCACAAGATGATTCGACAAATCATTTTATGAATCATCATGCTAATGTTTGAAATAAGCAAAACAATTTTCTCTTCTTTCTTTTTTTTTTAATTTTTACATTTGTCAGCAGTCGGTTGAATACATATAATGCCAACTCGGTTTCTTTCATTTTGTCTATTTTGTTAAACGAGAAGATTTATGAGAAGAGAAAATAAAAATAAACGATATGAAGCATTAAAGAGAATATTTATTAATCATAGACGCATACCTACATGAGATTTCTCTTGTTGTTTAACGTTGGGCGTTGTCATAGTTGAATACGACGAAAGAGAAGTTTCAATACACGGAATGTACCGAAAATCACAGAAAAGAAATTGACAAATACACGTGAGACATGCGACTGGGTGGGTGTGGGTATGGATCACATGTCTTCGGAGAATATCCCCGGAAACTCGATTATGTCCTAGGGGTAAGAGGTAGATAGATATGTGGATATAGGAGATATAGGAGGTATAGGAGATATAGGAGGTATAGGAGATATAGGAGGTATAGGAGATCTAGGAGGTATAGGAGATATAGAAGGTGTAGGGTGTGGGTGTGGGTATGGGTGTAGGTGTTGGTGTAGATTAAGATCAGAGCAACACTACAACCACACCCACATGCACACCCACACCCACACCCATACCCATACGCATACCCGCACCCACACCCTCACATCCACACCCACACCCACACCACACCCAATGAAACCTATTTTAGTTCAATAAATCTTTGTTTTTCTCAAGACCCAAGGAGGAGTACCTATAATTTTGGGACCCCCCTTATTTTGTTTGGAATAAAACATATTAAACGAGTTAAATATATTGAGTGCCAAGATTGACCATTCATTGTACTTCATTCGTTGCTTTACTCAGAAAAAATTGTATATCGAGAAAATTGTGGAATGCATTTTTAGACTAAAATCTAAAGAAGTCAACTGGTCCGGTCTGGCCGAACCGGATCGTTTACAACTCTAGCCTAGCCATACTCTAGGGTAGAGTACACGTAGGACTGCAGAAGTCTCATGTCAAGTTTATTAGGTTAGCATTGCTTTTATTTTAAAAATACTAAGACAATAAAGATTGATGAATTTTGCTTAGAAGTTTCGTTCTAAGATGAATCCTTGTCTTTGTGAAGCGTGCTTTCGAACGCCGTAGTGATACGTTCACCTTTCCCATCAATATTTGATGTACGTATTTCAATTTCTTTACCATCAGCTGTTCTACCTTGATATATTCGAAGAGTCATTGTCTGAAATCCAGCGTTTGCATTTTTAGGCGTCTGAACTTTTTCTTTTAGTAGTGTAAAATCACCCTTGGTCATGTTTGTTTTCCAATGATAAAGACTTTTTTCTGTTGGATGAGTTTCAGGGTTGTTCTGAGCACGCGAAGCCATGTGATCGATAAGCTTTGGCGTGGCTCCTATGCCTGTGCGCTTTTCGTGTCCATGTGCGTGATAAGCAGGAAATTGTCTTTCTGTTGGCGTAGTTTTGGCATCTAAATAAATATGCTTGCACCATTCTTCTCCAATATTGATTAAATAAAAATTCACGATTATAACAAAATAAGTATGATTACTGCATTATTCTTGTTTTTACATTCGATTTATGAACAATTGCTCTCTCTCTCTCTCTCTCTCTCTCTCTCTCTCTCTCTCTCTCTATTACACGGTTGGTAGTTTTCAAACATTCAATACAATTGCTGTACTCGATTTGGCAAATTTCTTGAGCATGCTAATGCTAAAGCGGCAGAGCTGTCCCGAATCAGCCGCCAGAATTATGACAGGACTCTTTCTTAACAAGTGACAGAATGAAGGAGAAGTCTTTCAAGACTGAATGAAGCTGTTCCTCCCATGCCCTCAGAACAACTGTGAGAGTAATCTTTAACACTTACTTTATTGCAGAAGTCTGCTGAAACTCTTAAGGATTGACGTAACACAACACTCTAAATTTCTGGCGAGTGAAAGAATTAATGCACTGATTATTAGTTTTGCCAATCTTCTTAAAGCATCAATATTTGTAAGGGATTTGAAGCACAGACATTTCATAATCGAGCTATTTTGGGCTAATCCTAAACAGGGCTTGCTCGAAGCTCCGAAGGTTGGAGCTTTATTAGGAGCGTGCATTCTTTCTCTACTGTCACCCTTAAGGGTCGTATACTATCGTGTGTAGCCATTTATGGCCGCATACAATTACCGTAAGCACCATTTTAAAAGCTCGTAGTGGAGGTGGATGAACATGACTAGATCATTCAAGGATGGCAGCATTATGTTCTTTTAACCATAGATGATGCCTTTCGCAACTTCACTTGATTATGTCGTCTCTTTATTCACATATTTCTTGCTAATTTCTGTGTTATCCTTATTCACATATGACCGCGAAACTGCAAGAACCCGTATACAGCAACGAGGTACGGAACTACTCTCCCCGCTCATATAGGCTACTGACTAAAGAGCCTGCTAGATGTATGCTGGAGCAGTTAAACGACTCAGCATGTATGTACAGCAGAGAGATTGGCTAAAAGATACAGGGTAGAAAATATAAGTGTACTACAATAATTTAAATTAAGAAATTTCAGCACAGGATATGGCACATTCTGTAAATATTCATGTTAAGAGATATAGATAGAAAGTATAGGTATAGCATGCAGGGTCAGTTAGTAATTATATGTGGGGTAGGAGTTGTGGATTATGCGATTTAAAGTTCAGAGTACAGACATAATATAGCAGTTTAGGATAACAGATATAAAGCTTCAGAAGTATTTTTAATTTATTTCATCTATTTTATTTACTTGAGATCATTAAATAGAATAGATTCAATGAATGGTAAATATTTGCTCATTTTAGACCATTTTAGGAAATAAACTCGGTCGTCAGTAGTTATTTTTTATTATTTATATTATTTACTTATTTTAAATTTCTTGTTTTATTTCATTATAAAAGGGAAGGAAAACAAAAGACCCCAAAAACGAGCGAATTTTTCTCATGTTTGGTCAAAACATGATCGTTGACGGCTTCCATTTTTCTCCTTATACGGTTACGAAGATATGCAATTGTACTACCAGATCACGTAATACAACGAAATCCGAAACGTATATGGCATATACATGATCATATATAACATCGCATACGGATTTCATAAGCATCGATCTAGGAATTCGTACACAACCTACATAATTCTGTATTCACGTCTTTCATTCGTACTTGGCAAAAGGCAGTAATCGAGAAGTGCATAATGCTCCAGAATCCGGAGTTCGCTGGGAACATAATTCTGCAACTGCTATTCGGGACTCAATGCTTTGACAGCATCGAACATTCCGAGCGGTTTTAATTTAAAAAAAGTTTTTCAACCCACTGAGAAAAATGATATATGATAACCTACTTGATTCTTTCCCTGTGGAACTTCCTGTATCATATGGTGGCTTTCTACCATTACCACCTCTCGACGAACTTCCACCGCGACCTGAACTATTTCCACTTGAAGAACTTCCACTTCCTGAAGCACCACCTCTGGACGATCCAGCTAGAGAAGAAAGAGACTTATTTGAAGTAAGCAATAAATTTGAAAATTTCTCCTTACTATTATTTGTGGCTGATGCAACGATAAGATTTTGTTTCATCGCATGATACTCTTGCCTGTTACGAGGACCTGTTGCTGAGACATTCGTTTGGCTGGCAAAAACATTTGCAGCATTGTATTGCGAAGCCAGATTGTTTATCGGTACTCGACCTTCAGTTAGTTTGAGTTGCAAATTGACTCCACCATAGATACGCATGCCGTTGCCTGTTTTGTTCAAAAAGACGGCTGGTACCCAATTGCAAGTATTATCAGAATGTTCTAGTAGATGAAGAAGAAGAACAATAAAAACAAGCTATTCGAAAACATTATTCAACTCACTCATTGCATCAAATTTATCTTCATTTTCGCGTACACAAATTCCTAATTGTTCAAGGGGATGCATCAGTGGACGCATCAGTACATGATCACGAGTGGTGAGTCTATCGGCAATGAAACGAGCCAATTGTTCAGCGCCATCGTATTGATTGTCGAGCCATGCTTTGACATAAGATTGTGCTGTGTCCGAGATTGAAATATGAGCCTGATCACAAATATTTTCAACGGCATCCTCAACAATTTGTCGATCGACTTCTTCCAATTGTGAGCGAATCATTGATCGTGCACTTCGTTCTTCATCTGATGATACATTCCACGACGAAATCTCACTTTTGGACAGAGCAGCATAATAGTGCTTATCTACTTGTATGGTTGTAGCTTGAGGGTATTCTAGCTTTAGTCTTAATTCAACTAGATTTGTCTCTATCGGATATGAATTTACCGGTTCTCTCAAGTGCTCATATCGACTACGCGCAAAGACGTAAAGAGCACTGAGCTTGAACAGTTCTTTAAGACGAAGAAGTTCAGGAAAATAGGAACCAATTTCATCGTAATGATCGGTAAAGGCCTTAGCAAATTGATTTTCGGCCGAGCGTTTCTCTTCTTCACTTTCATTGGTCTCTTCATCGTCGATCAATTTCCCTTCGACATCTCGAATAAGTAAATGTTTGCGACCGCGCAGTCGAACATTGGCAACTCGGTAGAGAATCTGTGCACCGACGAGTTTTCGTTCGTAGGCAACTTCATCTGCTTCGATCCAGAATCGATGAGCTCGACCGAGACTTAAATTTCGCTCATGATCATGAAGAGGTTTTAGTTTTTCTTGAAGATGAGCGGGTAGACGTTGAAAGAAACTCTCAGAAATGGTACGCATTTCGAAGGGAGGTTTCGCCGATACTTCAGTACCAGTGGTAAACATTTTCAGAAGGTAGTCGGTATGGAGTAGTGTGGCGCAGTATTGAGTATATAAAAGAGAAGATGGAGAGTAGCGCATTTCTTGGAACGGATGGGCATGAAAGTCATTGCCAGGTTGATCGAGGGTGAAGCAACAGCTAGTAAGGCCTCGTTGAAATACTTCGACAACATCGTTACTGTCGAACATAGCATCGCCATATTTCGATGTGACCGGCTGAAAAAGGAACTGAACTTGACCGGAGACCGTATCAAATGAAATGCCATCAACTTTGCTGAATTGTTGTGTACTTGCAAAAGTCAGTTGTCGTCGTTCGCGATAAAGCCATCCGTCATTCGTTCGAGGAATGAGGGGAATATCAAGCAAGAGTTGAACATCAAATAGATCCCAACTTTTCGTAGCTAACAGGGCTTGCATACACTTCAAACGCATTTCGCTGAAATTTTGAGTACGAGCCCAACCTTGCCAGACACCTTCAAAAAGATAATATACGTACACAGGGGAACGATCAGCCACAGCTTCCAGAAAATTAACTAATAAACGTTGACCCACTGCTTCCAAATACAGCACATCGTAACTCAGTGATGTTGGTAGTTGAATAAATGGAGATACTTTGGTGAGATGCACAGTAAGATCGAGTAGCTGAGTAATCACTTGACTTTGTCGCTCGGATATGATTGGGATAGTATCTCTCGATCGTGAAGGATGGCGAGCAACGGATGAGCGAAAAATTGTATTTGTTTTAATGAGAAGAGTAAGCAGAAGACGGAAAATGTAAGTTTGCATGTGTGGTGGAAGAAAATGACGAGATATAGCAAACGATTGGCAAGCAAGTTCTTCGATCATGTTGCGATAGGCATATACATAGGCATTTTGACCTGGAGTGGAATTTGCTTTTACGAGCAAGTCGAAAAAGTACATACATGCAATTGTCCAATTCGATACAAGACAAGTTGGATCATGGACTGCGTCGCACATGTCAATGTAGGAAAAAGCTGATTGCAATGAATCCTTAGTTAGACGTTTCAAAATGGCACGTTCATATTTGCGCACAAGATTAATGCGTATATTAGCAGTGAGATAATTTTCGGCGGCAAACTCCGATGGTGGAGGATGAATGGGAGCGGCAAGTGCACTCTTGAGACCGCTGGTGACTAGTACACTAACTGCTGATAGCAATTCGTTAATAAGTGCTTGATGAAATATGGAATCACTCATCAATATGACTAGTGCCGTGGCCGTCTCCTCAGAAGGTAAACAAGCCATTGCTTGATGAAATTTACCAACAGCATCGAAACATTGTCCTTTGAGTATTGAAATCATTCCTTCTATCAAATACATTTTTGCACGATAATCACCAGGTGCTGTATCCATCTTTCGATCACCAAAACATTTATGATGAATTTTTTCTAAAGCGCTAATGTCAGTCGTTTCGAAAAGAGCAGCGGCTAATTGAATGATATTCATGTATACTATTGGTTTGAGTTTTGCATGCACACTGTCACGTATTGATCTGTGATAACGATTAATTATATTATGCAGATTACTCTCTTGTGTTAGTGAATCCGTGTTGGATAAGAAGTGAAGAGCAGCGTCAATGATATCGATATTCTCCTCAAACTGTTTGGCCAATTTGTCGAGCAGCTGAGAGTGAAATGAAACGTCGAGAACATTGATTTTCTTCAACATTAATATACATTCAACGAGAATATTTAATATCGGTTTGTTTGCCTTCTGAAAATCATTGCAAATAGTTCCTAGTATCTTGGGAAGAATCATTCGATCTGATTTCATTCGTTTGTAAATTGCTAGATGACAACGTAGAGCTTGAGCAATTGGCAAACACAATATCGTCGATTCGATGATCGAGAGAGCAGTGGATAAGGTGGGTGACATATTCAACTGTAGCATGTAATAATTAAGGGCAATTTCGAACTGATCCGATTCGGCTGCGTACGCTTCGGCGAGCTGAATGTAATCGCTCGTAGTCGTGAGTGATTTTATAAGATAAGCAAACGATTCGTTTGCAACTAACGCTGTATCAATCCAGCTAAGATCATCATCGCCACATAAATTTAAGCTACTACGAAATTTGTAGCAAATCAATACCTTGTCAAACTCATGTAAATTGAAATATTGTTCTTGCAACACATTCCAATCTGGTTGTTGTAAGACGTGAACAATGACGAGACCGATCAATAATTTCTCCATATTTTCCTGTGAACGTATCAAGTAAGGATCAAGAATCTCAGTGGAATTACCAAATGAAAAGCAAACGAGTTGAACAAATGAATTATTAGATTTGGATATGATCTCGTTCAGTAGAGCGTTGGAAATCGTTTTTAATAGCTTAGTGACAATCACATACTGACGATCAGACGCAAGATTGTCCAAAATGGAAGCCCATTCAGTAGCATTAAGTTCAGCGAGTTGAAGACTCAAGATGGCTAATGTACCGAAATTTTTGTCGAGTAAATAACAAGCTAACCATTTAATCCAGGCATCGAACTTATTCGCTTGTCGCGATTGATCTGTAGTGTAGAGAGCAACTAGTGTTCCGTCTAGTTTCAACACAGACTTCTGCCAGATTTGTTCGTGGCTTAGTTGTGCTTGTCGGTAAGCAAATAAAGCGAGAGGAGCATTTTCTTTTACACAATAATCATCTCCTATCTTCGACCATTGTTCAGTTGTATAATGGAATTTTAGCGAGATGGCATTGAAACAAGTAAACGCGTAAGCAAAAGCTCCCGATGAACAAGCGATTTCGGCTAATGTCAACCAGGCTTTACAAGGCGCATCACGATAAGTATAACACTGCATGACACCGGCAAAATTTTGCGAGGCGAGAAAATGATTTTCAACTGATTCATAAAGTGCATATTTCTGTGAAGAATAATGATTAAGCAGAGCGACATATATCGAGATATATTGAGTAGAACGATTGACAAGACTTCGCTGGATGTTTGAAAGAATGACATCGATAATAATTTCTATTTTCCGCGATGAGCACGCCTGACAGATGCGCACGGGCCATGTATAACCCAAATGACGACAAGTGTGCCACCTTTGACAATCCCAACACTGCGTTTGACCACACATTCGGCAATGATAACGACCACGAAAGAGTAAACGTGATAGAGTCTTCGTACAGTCTGAGCATATTGAATCATTGGTAATTGTATTTGGTGGTTCTTTGACATCATAGCAAAGCTGACAAAGAGGAGAGTTTGCATTAGCATTGTTCACAATTGATAAACGTGATCCAGTCGCAACACGATGTGCATTGTCTTCATTGATATTACACATTTGTCCAGGGGTTTTCGGTCGATTTTCCTCATCGATAGCAGTGACGAGTGACGTAATATTGGGTAGATAATCAACAAGGCGAATATCGCTGAAAATTTTGACACTTTTTTCAATCTCACTATTGATTTTTATCTTACATGGAATTGCATTGTTGAGGATTAATAGCGCCGGAGAGAGATCATTGATTAGACGTTGAATATCGACCCATTTCGTACTCGTCCATAACTCCTGAAAAATCGATGCTGATGGATCCACTGGTTTCCATGACCAATCGTCGGGTGCGAGTGCGGCCAATTGATCGTTTAGTGATGAGTCCGATCCACGCATTTTTTCCAAACTCATCATATACTTCTCTCCTTTCGACACAAAATGTTCAATTGGATCATAGCATCGCTCACTGCAGATTGAACATATAGTCGGTGGAAGCGTGGTAACATTGAAATCATCTTGATATTTGTCTAAAATAGTTTTAGTAATAGTTTCCATTACCGTATCGACGTTATCAATAAATGTTCGACACGAATATTCGGCAATCCAATTAGCTAATTTTTCTTCACATGCTTGAGAAGGTCGTTTACCCGTGGGTAGTTGAAATGCATCGAGTAAAATAGTATCATCGTCGTCGTCCTCACGTTTCGCATCGTATTCGAGTCTAGTTAAATTGCTCGATAGTGTTTCATAGGCTTTTTTGATTTCTTTGAACATTCGTTCTGCATGGGGATCGTTACCTCGTTTGTCTGGATGTCATTCAAGGGCTTTCTTTTTGTATGCCTGTCGTATGGCATCTTCGGAAGCGTTCATTTCTATACCCAACAGTTTGTAATGATCAGCTTTCGGATCCATATTAAGCGGGAGAAAGCTAAAGATGTTAGAAAAGGTGATGAAGTCTAGAGAGCAGCGGTCATTTATATTAGTCTGCTTCAGACTTTTTCGCGGAAAAGTCTGTGTATGGACTTGGAAATCTACAACTTTCGATGTGCACTATAAGATAACATCGGAAGAAGCAGAAAATGACTCATTATTTATTTATCTCTCATCTTGTGCAATAACAAACATACTTATTTATCGACCAGGTTTATCTCATTCCTTCATTTTCGATATAGACTCACCAATTAGATAATAATGGCATGGTATAGGATATCTGTTTGCTGTTTTCAGTTTGTCTTCGCAATCACTATCGCTACGAATCTCATATCGTTGATTTTCGTTTTGATTGAAAAAAATTGAGCGCAACTTTAATGACTAATAGACCGGTTACTTTTTATCGTTAAAGATAGAATTCAATACATCGTCATATACACTGAAAAAAATTGACGCAGCATAATAAACCCTTCAAAAGGATTTATGAGGTTAATAAACCTTTTGATATACGCTTTTTTGATTTATTAATATGATAAACCCTTTCATATACCCTTTCAGTTGATAAGTCCAAGAAGGATATTTCACCCGTTGCACTTTGATAAACCCATTAGGGTATATCAGCAGTAATATACCCTTAAAAAGTTTATGAACTTGATAAACTCTTCAGAAAAGG